CTATCCTTTCTTAACCACTTATGAGATTATACTAAATATGTTATTGTTATTGTTAGTTTCAAGAATATAATGAATGAATGTTTAAATTCTTAAAGGTTGAACTTGTAGAACTTATGTGGTTATAACAAACCAACAATATACCTAGTGAAATCCACGAATAGAGTGTAGAAATGATAGAATGACACAGTCTTTATCACTACCTCATGAAGATAACTAAACTATTTCTAATTATCGACTCATGTATAGCAATTTCATATATAAAGAAGAAAATATATCAAGTCACAAGGAAAATATAAGACTTTTTGAAATTTATAATTATAATTTTGTCCAACCAAAAACTTGGACTACATCATGAATAGTTATAGAGACAAATAGTGATATGGGTGAAGAATAATAAAAAAAATTTAAAAATACTTGGTGGACAATTTTTTTTGTTTATTTTAATTGATGACATGGAATTTAGACCACGTGAACATGTCTGATGTGGCATCAAATGAGTATAATTCTCCTTCCTCGAGATTCTAATCTTGCTGACATGGACAAATCTTAACTTTGTCATCAATATGTGACTTTAATTTTATATGACACTTTTCGAATATCCCATTTCATATGACACATTTTGGATATCGAGATTTGAATAAGTCTATCTTTGATCGTAATTTTTTTATAAATCTTTTGAACATTTTGAAATATCAATCATTCTGACTTATAGTACTTTTTACATAATTTACAAATATATAAATTTTATTTCAAAAAAATAAAAAATTTCATGTGCTAATTTCCAGTCAAACTTAAACTTGTTTGACTCTCGAAAAACAAAAAGTATCACATAAATTGAGATAAAGAAAGTATTTTTCTTAACGAGTGATAAGTAAATATAATTAATTTTGATAAGCTAGAGTTAAATATAGTTCTAAAGTGTGATTGGGTGAATATATTTATTGAAAAATATTTAAAATAACTTATTTTTGATAATAGAGAGATAAATATGACCACTTTTCGTATATTATTTTATTCTTTGATTTGTGGGTAAGAGGTGCTTTGCATCAACACCAAGGAGGGAAGGGGTTGGTTTTTTTTTTGGTGGGGGGCGTCCTTTATCTTTTTTGTGTGTCTCAAGATCACTCCAAATATCACAAACTACCTCTATTGTCGGTGGCATATCTGTGTATCATTTACGATAATTTGAAAGTATATTTATTTTTTTTCTTATTTATTTTACTTAAGGTACATTATTTGTGTGTAAGTAATGTAAAATAATATATGAGAGTATAAATTTTGTTTTATTATCTCAATTTATATGATCGTATTTGACTGAACAAAAAATTTGAAAAGTAAAAAACACTTTTGATTTTGTTTCTAAATTTTCATTGACTCTTCTATTTTGTCCCTTAGGAACCCATCATATACATGAACTATGCTCATTGAATTGAATTTATTGTGAGCCATATATTCTGCATACAACAAAATTGGGAATAAGATAGCACTTAGGCTTCTGCCACGTGTTGCTCAATGGTTGGAGACCTTTATGATCTCGATTAGGAATGTCAAATGCACGGATTGAGCTAAATTTGAACGGATTAAAGCTACTTGAGCTAATAAATGGGCAGGTTATTTATTTGCACACAAGTTATTTGAGTTGAAATGAATTATATTGCAATGAGCTAAACCACATGAATCACTCCGTGTAAATTACACAAGTAGGATCTGAAGAAGATAGTTTGTATGTAGGTTGAGAGGCTATTTCCGATAACCCTCGTCTAGCCTAATTTTTGATCGGTGAAAATGAATAGGATACAATGACCTAAGCTAATAAATAGGCAAATCAATGACTAGCTCAAACTTGAGTAGATTGAACAAATCATATTTTCTGAGCTAATTTTATCACCCCTAATCTCAAATTATAATTCAATTATCATATATTTAAACTTTTATTTTCTTATTGGATTATGTTCAACTTTTATGTATTCTATAAGTCCATAGAGTATACTGTGAATGTATAACAGTGGATAACAACTTATTAATAACTACTTTAAGGGGAGTTTGTCCTAAACAATGACATCTTTCAATTTTTCTTTTTTGCCATAAATTTTGTGCACAATCAAATAATGTGATTACTTGAGCCGAAAGTTTATCAGAAACAATCACTTTACCTTCACAAAGCAAGAGGTGAGGCTACGTACACACCACTTTCACCAAACTCTATTTGTAAAATTACATTAGCTATAAGATGAATTAGCTAGATAGATTTTACACTTTTCTCAAAGAAAGAGGAAAGGTTGGCAGTTCAGGCTTCAGATGAAATTTAAGGAGAAATTCAATAAGACAGAGTTTTCTCTAAAATAAACCTACTTAGTTGATTGATGTTCAGATTCCCCCACTCCTAAGCTATGTAAGGAGCTAATAAAGCTCTTTAAAGGACGAAACATTAGACATTGTTATTATTGTCATAATCAAACAATGTCATATAAGAATTGAACGCCCCCCCCTCCCTCTCCAACCAAACCAAACCCCATCCCTTGTCTCGGGCACTCTGTTTGGATCATTGTTACCCATTGTATTGTATTGTATCGTTATTATACCTACAATGTTTGTTTTGATTGTTACTTCAAATGTATTGTATTGTATTGTTTTGTTAAATTTCGTTGTTATGTAACAATGAAAATCCCTATTTTATGGAACAACCGATTTGGTGTGTTCCCATTGTTACTTAATTTCTTTTTCCAATTATATCTTTACATAATATTTCAAAATACTATTTTACCCTTTACCTTATATTATTTAATTCTAGTCAATCCTCCTACCCTAGAATAATTAAGGATATTTTAGTAAATTTATAAATTACAATACAGTACGATACAATCAAACTAAACAATTAAAATATTATTAAACAACAACAAACAATTCAGTCCAGCCAAACATTGTATCTACCATACAGTACAATACAATAGAGTACAATACAATACAATACATTATGAAACAATAAATAGCAATAATCCAAACAGTGTGAGTGGCAGTATTTTGATGGGGGGGTTGTATGAGGCAGGGAGTAATAGGACCACTCTTTTCCAACTGTAAGAGGGATGGCCTTCATCTTTCAACAGATCAAACTTTGTGGTTATTATTAACTAGGGAAAGTACACCCCCTCTGCCCATGCATACTCTATTCATGCACTCTCTTAAATGATGATATCCCTTTCTTATCTCAATTCTTAACTTGGAACTTTTTAGTACATTCTAGAGAAACTAGTGACAGGCTGTTTGATTACGTCCAACTTTAGGGCTACACAAGTAGACGCTTAAATTCATATAAAGCTTAACAAAGAACTTGTGGAAGGCAAAGTATGCATTGCCTTCAAAACCGCGAAAACAGAAACAAGAACCAACAGTTCTGGGCAACAATAATTGTGACTGTGGTTTAAAAGTGGAATTAACATTATACTACATCTATACTAGCAGGAAATTTCTAATGCATATTGAACTGAACTTAACGACGTGCTAAGAACAGCAGCATAAGAAATAACATCTTAAAGTAGATTTCAGATTTGTACCGATTACAAATGATAAAAAGGCACATGTTTAAGTGAAATTCCTCTATGAAGACGACAACCTTAGAGATACAACATCATCTAGTGAACTACGATAAACTAAAGTGACAGAGGAGCAACCACAATTCAGTTACAGAAGATGAGACTCCAGATATAACAAAACACCAAGTGGTTTTCACATAAGTCGCTCAAAAGGATTGCTTAACCCAACTTCAGTGCCTGGAATCTGTCACCAAAGAAACAGGTGTATCAAAGCCCCAGTTAACAAAGAGAACTATCAATAACCATAGAGTCGATAGAAAAGGGAGTAGAGAATTGATTAAAAACAAGGTTCAAACCCCCTTGTCTTGAAAGACCTACTATCTCATGCAATCTGCACAGACCAAACCCCCTTGTCTTGAAAGACCTACTATCTCTTGGATAAAGGAAAGATCTTTTTGATATCTCAACCATCCAATTTGATTTTATGTGTAACATCTTCGTTTATTATTCCATTCATCCAAAACAGATTTTGTGTAACATATTCATATATCATTTGACTCTCCAGGAACGTCAAACCTAGATATTTTGAATTGTTTGTTTTCCTCCAACATCTTTCACAATGTGCCCTTAAAAAAACCACAGTGGAGAGAAATGATTCATGAATCATTTATCTAATCTTTGATGACATCACAAAGTTGATTTGACTTCACCCACAAATCTAAAAAATCAATTTAAAATGGCAAGACTGCATTTCATAAACATCGAACCACCAATTCAGAAGGCAAATCAAGCTTAGGAAAACACTAGAAAAATTCAATAAGACCTAAAAGTTCAATTATTGGAAACTCATAATGAATTGGCTCTAGGTTGAGCTGCGGTTTCCTTTGTCAAAATTGTTATTTCAACATTATACAATGTTTTATTTTCTCCCAAAATGAAACTTTCACAACCAAAGATAGCTATCAACAAATTACATCTTCCTCAAAACTGTCATGGAAACCATGGTTGATAGTCTCATCCATTAACCAAGGAAGAATAAATCTTATTACAGGCTACAAGTGTGGAGCACACAACCTAGTCCCAAGAAAGCTTCTCCATTAACTGTTAAGCCAAAAGCAGCCATTGGGGTGCCAAATTATATTATATATAGGAAGGAAGTTTTTTTGTAATAAGGGAGAAACAATAATAAAAAAACAAATAGGAAAATATGTGTAACTTTCATCTAATTGAAGTCCTCTTACAAACTTACGTTTAAGAGTAAAAAGGAACTTACAACTATCTCATACAAAAAGAGATAGACCGCACAAATGAATCATGCCCTAAATTCTACTCCTAAGCAATACAACTATCATTTGTAAGTGGCGCAAGCATCAAAAGTACCATGTTTCATAATCTAAAGACTAAAGTAATGAAATTTAAGATGAATGTAGAGAGATGATATCTACTGAAAATAAATAGCAAGCAATGTACCTTCCGCTCATTGTCTCTTCAAAGGACTTCTTAAGCAACTCTAAGTCAATTGTCAGTTCTCGAGCCTTTTCCTATGGCTGGTTGTGATCCTGCTTCATGGAGATTGACAATTTAAAACAAGAGTGACCTCAGGATTCAGAACACAATGTTTGAGCATTGTAATACTAAATTTTCTAGAGATTGCTTTTGTCCAAGTTCCCATTTCAACATCAGCCATTTATTTCATTTTCCAAAAATGCATTCACATTTTGGAACTTTAAAAGCCTATATACTCTAACAATATTGTTGCCAAACATATCATAATTGTTACAAGTATCACAAATTTCCTGCACTCTATTGCATGTCCAAACATATGCATAAACTTTAGAAGGCATTACCTTTCATGAATGTAACTATTTTGGGGAGTATCCACCTAATTTTCCTTTTGGTATAACACACAACCAAATCACCGAGTCGGCAGCAGTGTGCCACGTTAAATTTTACATTATAAAACATGAAAGGATCTTTTCATTTCAATTAGGAAATCGGAAAAACTGATAACCAGCAGCAAAAGTTGAATAAATTTACATATAAAGTCCCAAAAATAACGAAGCAAACATTAGGATGAATTTTGCACATACCTTGACGATCATCACAAGCATCATGGTACTCGCCTTCCTCCTCATGTTCTTTTGAGGCAGATGCCACAGAAACTCCACGCTTACGAGCAGCATTTCCACCATCCTTCTCATCAGGATACCTCACAACCACAACAGGGCAAACACAATGCCTAACACAGTAATCACTAACACTTCCAAGCCTCCCATCATTTCCTCTCTTGGTAGCCCCGAATCCTCGACTACCCATGATAACTGCACTCAATCCTAGCCTCTCAACCTCAAGACACAGCCTTTCCTTCATATCATGATCCTTCACAATATGAATTTTGTACGGAATTTGTGCCTCAACAAGTGGCTGAGCCAAATCAGCAGACTTAGCAGAAGTAAACGCATCAAAATCATCTTCAAGCTTCTTCTGAGACTCTATGTTATCAGTATCGACGATGGAGAGATCAACAGAACCCCAATCAGCACCGTAGAGTACGGAGGTAGGGCGGACGTGGAGAAGGATAACTGCGTCACCAGGACGGAGGTAGTGGTGGACAGCCCACTTGACGGCGAAGGCAGATTCGTCACTAAGATCAACGGCGATTCCAATTTTGCGCTGCGCACCGGCGGTAGGAGTGTCGGTGGCGGAAGGAGTGGTCGGTGGTGGAAAACGTGGTGATGAACACTTGATTTTGATGTTCGCGAGGTTTGGGATGCCGGAATCCGCCGTGTGCGGTGGCTGTTTCTGCATTCTGTTTATCGGAGCTAGGGTTAGGGTTTTAAAAATTACAATTGAGGTCTGATTGTATGTAGACTGCTAGTGTCCCTCTTTGATGGTGATAACTAGGTGTGTTCATACTCTCATTTCAAATGAGTCGGCTTTTGATCAAAATCAAATCAGTTTAGTCGAATTAATTAAAATAGTACATATTTAATCGGATCGATTGGTATCAATTTTTTAAAATATAATGATATTTCTCACTTTCATTTTTTAGAACAAAAAAATCGCTTTTGACTAAGGTTCACATTTTCTTTTGACTTTCCTCGAAAACTCGTTTACAATCTACTTATGGTAGCTAACAGACTCTCATCATTGCAACTATCATCTTTTTATATGTGTAGAGCTTATTCCTACCTCAGTAGATATAGATAATTTGTTTCTAAACATATCTCGACTCAAAATGAATATTATCGAAGCACCATTGCAAGAAAATTATAATAATCAAACAATAAAATACAAAGCAAATGAAGCAACAAATAACAACACACATAGAATTGCATTAAAAATACTACCCAATTACATAATAATACTATCACTAGTGAGAAAAGGAAAGGAGGAAGCTAGGCCTTACCTCTTCCACACATGGTGCGTCGACATCCATCTACTTACTAACCTTTTATTCTAGTTCTCAATACTCAAACATCTTTGTATCTTGAATCATGTCCTTGACAAGTTGATACTATCTCAAGTCGTATCTAAACACCTAGCATAATTCTCATTCGTCAATAGCAAGACAAGAAAAGGAAGAGGCTAGGCCTCACCTCTTTCACACATAGCGCGTCAACCTTCAACTACCTACTGACCTTCTATTTCAATTATCAACACTCAAACATCTTCATATCTTAAATCATGTTCTCGATAAGTTGATATTGTGTCAAGTTAAATCTAATCACCTCATATAATTCTCTTTCGCCAATGGCGAGGCAAGGAAAGGAAGAGGCTAGGCCTTACCTCTTTCACATAGCGCGTCAACATCCAACTATCTACTAACCTTTTATCCAATTATCAACACTCAATTAGCATCTTTATATCTTCACTCATGTTCCCGTTAAGTTGATTGATACTGTGTCAAGTCAAATCTAATCACCTCCGATAATTCTCTTTCGTCAATTGCGAGACAAGGAAAGGAAGAGGGTAGGCCTTACCTCTTTCACACATATCGCGTCAACATCCAACTATCTACTAACCTTCTATTTTAATTATCAACATTCAAACATCTATTTATACACTGTTTTCCTCGCCTTTTACTTGGATTTGATGTACTTGAGCTGAGGGTCTTTCGGAAATAGTCTCTCTACCTCGCACGAGGTAGTGGCAAGGTCTGCGTACACTCTACCCTCCCCAGACCCCACCTAGTGGGATTTCACTGGGTATGTTGTTGTTGTTGTTGTTGTTAGCATTCAAACATCTTCATATCTTAAATCATGTCTTTGATAAGTCGATACTATGTCAAGTCATATCTAATCACCTTTCATAATTCTCATTCGTCAATAACGTGACAAGGAAAGCAGGAGGCTAAGCCTTATTTCTTTCACACATAACACGTCAACATCCAACTACCTACTAACCTTTTATTTCCATTCTCAACACTGAAACATCTTCATATCTAAGATCATATCCTTAATACGTTAATACGGTGTCAAATCATATCTAATCACCTCACGTGACACACCACTTTTCACAAAATCTAATTTCATTTAAGGACAAAAATGTAATTGTGTCTAACCGCCATTAAAATTGAACTCTAGAAGGACAAAGCGGTAATTGCGTCTATCCGCCATTAAAATGGAACTCTAGAAGCACCCACTCGGCCTTCTCTTTCTCACAAAAATCCCTAAAAAACTGAAGCAGCAAACTCTTCTCTTTCATCTTTCTCATCGAACAAGGTATGCTTTTTCTTCCATTTTTTTGCTCAAATTTCTTCATTTTGCCTTCGTTCTGTTTTGATTTTTTGCTTTGCTTATCGATTTCCTTTGCTCTGTTTTGAGGTGTCGAGGTCAGTTTTCGCACAACTCGATTAATTTTTGTTAGATTCATTAGATATCTGTTGCCGTCTTCTATCAGGAATAGATACCAGGTAACGTTATTCGCCAAACGTATGAACATGACAGATATAAGTACCACTCTTTCATGTCTCTATTTGCAAAACCCTAATTAAAGTTTAGAAATCAGGCGGTGACTGACGGAACCTTTTCTATTCTCCGGATGAGAGTGTTTGCATGCGTTTCTTCTAATATATAGATAAAATTTGCTTCTTTTTGTTTCATTTTTACGTTTCTCTGTTATTACTGCTTCATTTTTATCCCTTTTTGGGCTGAGTAGTGGCAATGTAGTGCTTAGGATTTGAACCAGGAACTTCAAGGTGAATTTCGAACATCTTAAACCACGAGTCAACATCTAGTTTTGTGTTTAGGTGATTCAAAATCTATAAACATATACATAGAACATGAAGAAATACCTTATATATACTTTGTATTTTTTACCGAGGAGGTTTGGATGAACACCTTTGCGTCCCCCTAGATCCGCCATTGTAGTCGAGGTCTATTGGAAAGAACTTATCTATCCTGCAAGGTAGGGGTTAGTTCTGTGTATACACTGACCTCCTTAGAGCTCACCTGTTGGGGTTATACAGGGGTAATTTCTTGTTGTAGTTATTGAAAATTGCTTTTTTCAGTTAAGCATGATAATTAAAATATTTAAGTGAGTAGTTTGTTGGTTTTAATTTGTTGGGAATCCATAGAGAATTAGGTATTATGAGAATAATCTATGTAATCTGATATGTAGAAATTTGATAGATAGAAGCAATTGGGTTCCTATTGTTTTCTTTGTTATAAACACGCATGGAACTTAAAAAGATTTAAATTTTGGTAATTGAAGAAAGTGTCATAGGACCTCTTCGTTTTGCTAGAGGCGACAAATTGTTTTTTTTTTTAACGTGATTGGGTTGTATAAGGGTAATAAACTGAAAACTATGATTTAGAATTCATTTTGGCTGTCAAAGTTGTTGCACTGGTATTCTTCCCCCATAATGAAGAAGTAGTGGGGCCCTTTCCGTGTATGCGCATATATTTATATTCTTTCTATTTTTGAGTTACCAATGTAGTATCAATTTTGAAAAAAAATTAAAAAATACCAATGGAGAACCTTCCTAAAAACTCTCTGGTAAAACGCAATTCGTCGAGTTCAATTCAAGGTGAACCCTTTTTTTCTTCTTTTCTGATAGCTTTTTTTATGCCTATTTAGTAAGTGGGCCATTGGTCATAGACAAAATTCGTCGAAGGGATAAAACAAAAAGAGTAAAGAGGAGAAAGAACGGAAAGTTTTTTCTTTCTTTCAATCCAAATAATAGAACAAAGAAAGCACTCAAAAAATGATAGTTAAATAAAGAAGTGTTAGTAAGAACTATCACTAGACTACTTCCCCTCTTTCTTTTCTACCTTTTCTCTCTCCTTTTGTTTGTGCTTCCACCGGGCTATTCATTCTTTTTTTTTATAGAGACCCAAGGATATATAATAATAAGTGTAGAAAGGTGAGGGTGAGGTACCTTTCCCAGCATATGGAAAGAAAATTCTGGTTCAAGCAAATGAATGTTTTTATGCGGAAGTTTTTAATGAGAGGGTGGCATACTACTATATTAGGAAATGCCTGAAAAGCTGCCTTGCGACACCATCGGCATTAAACTTATATTCAAGAGTGCTTGAGAACTATTTCAATATGTGGACTTATTTTTCTACAGAATAGACTTTTGAATTTTTAATGTCTAATACAAGTGAACATATAGCTAATAATCTATCTACGCCTCGGTGTTTACTATCAAAAACGATGAAGTATTCCTATCTTGTTCAAATCATAGTTGACAAATTCTAGAAGAAAATTTGTCTTTAGAAACGATGGGATAGTACATTTGGACTACTCAAGGAGAATAGTTAAGGGTTGCAGAGAATTGTTAATGTATGTATTCGTAAGTTCATATTATAAACTAGCTATAGATAGCTTTTCCTGAAAATCATGGATTAAGGCTTTATGATGTCAAATTAATGGACTTCATTTTCTGTTTCTCTTTATTTGTTTCCATGTAATTCTTACTGTCCTATCCTGGCTTTAAGATTTGTGCGTGGAGAATCAATTGGTCTTTTTTGTTGCTAACAAAGTAATTATAAGCAGGCTGGTTCAAATTCATTGCGGGTAGCTCTGTGGGTTGGTGTGTGTGTGGGGGGGGGGGGGGGGGGGTATATTATGCTCCTTCAAAATATAGCTATTGTCTCATTGAATCAGAAGTTCTTTTAGTAATGAGATTTCAGCAATTTTATAGTATCAGTTGGCACTGTATACAGACATGTGTGAGTGCATATTATGTTGCCTCTTCATTGTTAAATCACTTACATGTGAATATTTTCTTTTTCTTGTCTAGGTTAGTCAAGAATTGTTGACACGGCCATGGTGCAAGAGAGAACTGGAAATGGAGCACCTTCAAATGGGAATTCGGCAGGTGGAAATGCTTATACAATTGACTTGAATACTTTCAGTAAGCGACTGAAGGCCTTATATTCACACTGGCACAAACATAAGGATGACCTATGGGCCTCTTCTGATGTCCTTGCTATAGCTACGCCGCCACCTTCGGAGGACTTGAGATACTTGAAATCCTCAGCTTTAAATATTTGGTTGCTAGGGTATGAGTTTCCTGAGACGATTATGGTTTTCGGAGACAAGCAAATACATTTTCTGTGTAGCCAGAAGAAAGCCTCATTGCTTAGTGTTGTAAAATCCGCTGCTAAAGAGGCTGTGGATGTGGACATTATCCTGCATGTGAAGGCGAAAAATGAGGATGGGACTACTCAAATGGACAATGTGCTTCACACTATCCGTATGCAGCCAAAGTCAGATGGTCCTGATACCACAGTCGTCATTGGATATATTGCAAGAGAGGCCCCTGAAGGAAAACTCTTGGAGATATGGACCGATAAGATGAGAAATTCAAGCCTTACTCTTAGTGATATCTCAAATGGGCTGGCTGACCTCTTTGCTGTGAAGGAACAGAATGAGATAATAAATGTGAAGAAAGCTGCATATTTGACTGCTTCTGCAATGAAGAACTTTGTTGTTCCGAAGCTTGAGAAAGTTATTGACGAGGAGAAGAAAGTAACTCATTCTTTATTAATGGATGACACAGAAAAGGCTATTCTAGAACCTGCAAAAATTAAGGTGAAGCTGAAAGCTGAGAATGTTGATATTTGTTACCCCCCAATCTTCCAGAGTGGTGGGAATTTTGATCTTAGACCTAGTGCTACAAGCAATGATGAACAGTTGTACTATGATTCTGCCAGTGTCATCATATGTGCAGTTGGATCACGATACAACAGTTACTGTTCAAATGTTGCCAGAACATTTCTCATTGATTCAACTTCGACGCAGAACAAGGCTTATGAGGTTCTTCTTAAAGCTCACGAGGCAGCAATTGGTGCATTGAAGCCTGGAAACAAGCTTAGTTCCGTGTATCAAACAGCTCTTGAAGTGGTTGAGAGGGATGCTCCTGAATTTGTTAGCAACCTGACAAAGTCTGCTGGGACTGGGATTGGTCTTGAGTTCCGGGAGTCTGGGTTGATCATTAATGCTAAGAATGATAAGGTGCTGAGAGCGGGAATGGTTTTCAACGTGTCACTTGGTTTCCACAATTTGCAAACTGGGACCACCACTGAAAAGAGTAAGAATTTTTCACTGTTGTTAGCAGATACGGTTATCGTCACAAATGATGGTCATGATGTGGTTACTCACTTGAGCTCTAAAGCCGTGAAGGATGTAGCCTATTCTTTCAATGAAGATGAGGAAGATGAGGAGGAGGTTAAGGTGAAAGCTGATTCAAGCAGGATGGAAGCCTTGTATTCCAAGGCAACACTTAGGTCAAACAACCAAGAAGAGCTCCGGAGGCAGCATCAAGCAGAACTTGCTCGTCAGAAGAATGAAGAAACTGCTCGTCGTCTTGCTGGTGGAGGAGCTTTAACGGGGAATAACAGGGGTGCTGCTAGGGCCTCAAGTGACCTTGTTGCGTATAAGAGCATCAATGATCTACCACCTCCTAGGGATATGACTATTCAGGTTGACCAAAAGAATGAAGCCATTCTTCTACCAATATATGGTACTATGGTTCCTTTCCATGTGGCTACTGTTAAGACTGTTTCAAGCCAGCAGGATACCAACCGTAACTGTTATATCCGTGTCATTTTCAATGTCCCTGGCACCCCTTTTACACCTGTTGATGCAAATGCTCTTAAGAATCAGGGTGCTATTTACCTGAAGGAAGCTTCGTTTCGTTCTAAGGATCCAAGGCACATAAGTGAAGTGGTTCAGCAGATTAAAACTCTTAGACGGAATGTTATGGCCAGGGAGTCTGAGAAAGCTGAAAGGGCAACTTTGGTGACTCAGGAAAAACTTGTACTTGCAGGGAATAAATTCAAACCAGTTAGGCTGTCTGACTTATCTATTCGTCCCTCTTTTGGTGGTCGTGCAAGAAAGCTTCCGGGTACATTGGAAGCTCATGTTAATGGTTTCCGGTACTCGACCTCAAGAACAGATGAGCGTGTTGACATCATGTTTGGCAACATCAAGCATGCATTCTTCCAGCCAGCAGAGAAGGAGATGATTACCCTTCTTCACTTTCATCTGCATAACCACATAATGGTAGGAAACAAGAAAACCAAGGATGTGCAATTCTATGTTGAGGTAATGGATGTGGTGCAAACACTTGGAGGTGGAAAGCGGTCTGCCTATGACCCAGATGAGATTGAGGAAGAACAGAGAGAAAGAGACCGTAAGAACAAATTCAACATGGACTTCCAGAATTTTGTGAACCGGGTGAATGATATGTGGAGCCAGCCCCAGCTTAAAGGACTCGACCTGGAGTTTGATCAACCTCTGAGAGAACTTGGGTTCCATGGGGTGCCCTATAAATCATCAGCATTCATCGTGCCAACCTCGAGCTGTTTGGTTGAGCTGATAGAGACCCCATTTCTCGTGATAACCTTAAGTGATATTGAGATTGTCAACTTGGAGAGAGTTGGATTTGGGCAGAAGAATTTTGATATGGCAATTGTCTTCAAGGACTTCAAGCGTGATGTCATGCGCATAGATTCCATTCCTGTCTCCGCACTTGATGGCATCAAGGAGTGGCTTGACACAACTGACATCAAGTATTATGAGAGCAAGATGAATCTGAATTGGCGTGAAGTATTGAAGACCATAACTGAAGATCCCCAAAGGTTTATAGACGAAGGTGGTTGGGAATTTTTAAACATAGATGCTTCTGACTCAGAATCTGAAAACTCAGAGGAGTCAGACCAAGGTTATGAACCCTCAGACGCTGAACCTGAGTCAGATTCAGAAGATGAGGCCTCTGATAGTGAATCTCTGGTGGATTCCGAGGAAGAAGGGGAAGACTCAGATGAAGATTCAGAGGAAGAGAAAGGCAAAACATGGGAAGAGTTGGAGAAGGAGGCAAGCAATGCAGATAGGGAGAAAGGAGATGAACCTGACAGCGAGGATGAGAGGAGGAGAAAGAAGAACTTTGGCAAGTCACGATCTGGTCCAAGTTCTGCTGGTTCTAAGCGAATGAAGTTTAGGTAGTTTTGCTGATTCGATTTGTCTTAGAACAGTCATCAAGCACATTACAAGTAGGTCTTCCTTGAAGTTTTAGTTAGTTAGTTATCAAGTTCAGTTTTTTCTTGTATATTACTTCTAAATTGTTTCTCTTTGCACTCCACTTTGGGTTGTTAGACCACGGTGGAGTTTGTCAGACTAGGTTCAAACGTTTCTGTTTACCTTCGTTTAGCTAGATATCATGTTTTTATGTACGCGTTTACAGTTGGTTGTGCGCGCAAATATCTCATATTGAATTCCAACTGGAAACCTCTCCTTAGTGTGTTGTGTTAGTAGTTCTGGCCATGAATTATCTGCATTTGATTTCTGAGTAAAATGTTACTCCATTTGTGTTTCAATGAAGAGAGGCTGTTGCACATTACATCTTGGGATTTGGGAAGCTAATTGATTGTGAAATTTGCTTGCTAGGGTCAAGTAAATGATGTACTTATCATGTTCTATAGCTTTAATGACATTTGAACATGTCATTTCATACATCAGTTTGTATTGATCCATTTAATTTTCAAGCATGTTCTTGTATAATCTCTCTACAAAGCTTTAAAATTGTCTTAAAAAAGTATGTTGGCTCCTTGAATTTGCAATCCCTTCAATTTTGAATGTGTCCAACTAGTATTAAACACTATACAGTCAAAACCTCTAATTCATTATAGTGACAACGTTTGTCTGAAAATTGTTGTAGTGTGGTGATATTATATATATGTATACTCTCATTTAATTGTTGTAAATAAAAATATGCAAAAATGTAAATTAATAATTTTGTGTTCCAAGAAGAAGGAATGTATATCTTAACCAATTTATAAAAGAAATAGAAAGAGTGTGAACGTAAAAAAAAAAAAAAAGTTTTCCACTTAGATATTTATATTTGAAATTTACCATGTGCATGACATTAATGATGATTAGCATAAATATTTTAGTTTTGCATTTTATATATAGGGTAATTTTACAAAGAATGTACCATTAATATTGAATGTTAGGTAGAATGATGTTTTAGATAAGTAAATTAAAATATAAAAAAATGATTTTAAAAAAAATTAGGTTATAATGAAATGTTGTTATAACGAATGACTATAAAACAATTTGATGTGATTTAACAGCTATAAGAGTAAGTAATGCAGGGAGAAAGCATAAAATTGAAAATACAGTTGACAAAAGATTGGATCTTGGCAAATGCACTATTACATTCTAAGAAAGGGAAACAACACGTCCATTCTAGGAAACAAGTACTAAACCAATAAACAGAACACACAAAAGTCATATTTTTAGAGGAAAACAAGAAACACCATTGAGACGATTTGATCCTTCCGCGATGATATCTGTGTTAACCGCGCTATCCAGGGTCATATCAGCAAGCTACCTTGAATGGAGCTTTGGATCACCAAATCTGTTTCCATGTCCAAGGACTTGCATTCTGTTTGAAGGCTTAAGATGGAAATTGCAGGATGCATGTATGGGAAAAGGAAGGCTTACACTTGAAACACGGTTGAACTCGAGGCTGCACTGAAACATATGGGATGAAAAACTTCACTACAGATGCTAACATGTCAATATTCTCTCCTTAAACGACGCCTTTTTGTCAAATTCTAGCATCTCAAACCACTTCTTGTAGTAACCATTGCTAAGCTTTATGCTGCATTTGATATAAGAAATTACAAGTTGGTTTAAAAAGAAAACCAAAACATGTATCATCCTTTGATTCAAAGAAATTTACCTTCTTGAACCAGACTATCCGAGATGCATCAGAAAGCTTGAGCAGGGTCCTAGCAAGATTCTGAAATTCATTAAATAAAAGCACTTGTATGGCAATGGCAACAACAATAAAAAGATATACGCAGGAACAAAGGCAGAATCATTTTATCGTTGGTGCTGAGGGTTGCCAAGTATGAAAGTGAAGTTGGATATTTACGGATAGTACTGGAGAATAGGCATGTCAATAATATCTAAGGGGCACTAAGAATGCCACCATTTAAATTGGGTATTTTGATAGCCCCCCTCAATATATTTGATGGTAGACTGCTCTTATTCGATCCGTGTAAGCTTTCAGGTGATTCAAGTACTCGAGAAGTCTGTAGAGCCATCTCAGCATGGAGTTGGAGGCAAGTCATAGCCAGCTGCACAAGTAGAATTAATTAGGTTGGCGACGTAAAGCAGAAAAGAAAAACTCAAACATTGTGTTAGATTATGAGACCAGAAAACAAAACCAAGCAGAGTTATCAGTTACAGCATATACCAATGACATTAAGCAAAAAGAAGGATTTATCCAAACAAGCAAAGTGTAATCATTAACAAGTAACCTGCAAGCAATACTAGATAATTTCTTATGCCTGACACACAATAAGACCCAATGCAAAGCAAATAGCTTGAATCCTTGGCTAACAACCCATGAAGTTGGAACAAACAAATCTTGAGTTTTGACAATTAAATATTTAATGACTTCCTGCAAAGGGATTCATGTACACGATTTTCTTACATACATTACCTACCCTTAGGATGTGGCCTTCCCCAGACCCTGCGTGAATGCAGGGTGCTTTGTGACTGCCTTTTTTTTTTTTTGCTTTTCTTAAAAGACATACTGTCTGTTTATGAGCACCTTCAGAGAACAAATTACAGAAACTTGCCTTTGAACACTTAAGACTTTAGTCTGTATCTGGACTTGAATTATACATATACCTGAAAACGGGAGGAAGGTACTAGTGGTGTCTACTATATAGTCCACTAACAATCTACAGAGTAATAGGTGTGCATAAAACAAACAGAACTGAAGTTATAGAGTAACATTTAGCTCTTGGACATACCGTGTAGCATTCCCTATCGGTGTCAGATTCAGCAATATGAAGTGCCCAGTTGCGAATCCACTCAAGTCCTTTTGAAAGTTCAGAATCCCCCTCAACCACGGCAGCTGCCACGGAGGAGGGATGAAGAGAAATCAGTATGCATGAAGCAGTAAACAGGACAGATCTCCTAACATAAGCCTCCACATGATGAGATATCTCCCTGCCAGTATAGAGAAGGAAATCTTAAGTGCGCCTCTATGTGTAAACGGAAAAAATGAACAAGACTGGAATTCCCACTGACAAACTAGTGCATTGGTCAATTCCAAGCAACAATTACAAATGGAGACAGGTCACTTCTACTCAGTTAAAAGAAGATGACAATTTTTCTTTTTCATTTTATTGTTTGGATAAAGGACAGTTCATTTTAGAAGTTAAAAAGAAGATGAGACATTTTTTTCTCCAGTAATAACTCATCTTCTATTCCAAGACATTTGCAAGGTTAGAGGGGTAGCTGTGTAAGAAGGTATTATTCTCTGACATCATATATAAGAGTTACTACCTTGATCTTAACAATTCCAAAAGAGGAGATGCCAAAATAGATGCCTCTGGATGCATGGCTGAACACTTCATACAAACACCAAGCATGTAGATAAACTTCCCCAAAACAATGAAGTCTCTACCAAGCAAATCTACACCATGCCGTTTCTTATCAAATCCTTCCATGGCTGGAAGCATAAAAGCAGCTGCATACTGGGGAAACTTATTCTGGGACCATTCAAGCTGGTTTACCGGTAAAGCTGAATGAAGGCTCCAACGACGTGTCTTTCCTCTCTTGATCTGACCTGATTTAGGGGGAAGTTCTCTCTCATAACCATGAGACCAGTTAAAAGGAGTCCCTGGTGTTGAGATTTCCTTCCAAGGGCCGGCTCCTGGAGAACCAATAGGTTTTGGCATGAACCATGCTTCATCACCCATGGATGATACAAGAGCGTTCGACCGTTGTTTAAGTCTTGAAATCCTTGTGTTTGCAAGCTCCTGTGCAGCCTCCGTCATTACATCAAGTATCATTAACCTCTGGCTGACATCTAAACTTGGTGAATATAGTAATTTATTTAGTGTACTGAGAGATTCATGAGGACATGTGACTATCAAAGCAACAATCGCTTTTTGTCTTTTCTCTTCAGCAGACTCTTCCTCCCCTTCAATAGTTGAATCAGAGCAGCGAAGTTGTATTAGACTTCTGGTTAGATCAGAAGCTACAAACTTGAGCTCATCAGGTGAAGCTCGTACAAGCTTCTCAGCAACATCAATAGCCTGGTCAACCTGCTAAGAGGAAAGACGTCAAAATGGCAAACACGAGAACTTTTTCATCTACTTCAGTGATAACCTCGGAGCATATGTATTACTAAATACCAAACTATTTTTAGTAATCTTGATAACTATAAACTAATAGTAATCTGATCAATTTTCGTTCTACTATACAAGCTGGTACAGGTCATTCATAGAAACAAAAAGGGCATCAAAGCTTGTTCATTTTTTAGAAGGATGACAAAATTAACACTCTACAGATTGTCTGATATATATTATAAGAATTTTGAACTCACACCATCAGCATCATCAGATTTCCTTAGTGCTCCAATCACATCCACTAACTGTGAGAAATTTCTTTTTAGATCTGCACCATCATCTGACAAGTCATATGGCTGCAAAGACGAGTCATTCGAGGACTCGGAAGTTTCACTTGCATTATCGTCATCATCGTCATCATCTTTACTAGAGTCAACCTCATTATTTAGGGATGCTGGATCAATGATCTCATCTGGATCAACAGCTTCAAATCCAAATAATTTCTTCTTTTTAGTCGTCACGTTATCATGTGTGCTGGCAGCAGCTATAGTGTTTAATACCTTTCCAGCTACTGTGGTTGAACAACCCTTATTTCCATCTATGTCTGTGGGCCTAGCCAATAATCTTTTTTCTGGGGTTAATAAACCAAAGTCCCAGTCAATAGCTTCCTCACGGCAACTATTGTCAAGGTAGAGAGGATTTTGGGGGTCAATTACTTTGGAAAATGCTAATGCAACACTGCTAGCCATTTTTCGAATCAAATGGTCAGCACTTTCCAACCTACCTGTTAGCAACCACAAAAGATATGAGAAGAATTAAATCAACTAGTTAATATTCATCCAGAAAGATATTGTTGAACAGAAGTAAGAGCGAAATTTTACAGCTCACTCCTTCAAGAATACAGTGCATTGCATCCTTGGTTGCATCTAAATCTTCTTTAGACATCTTCTCTAAGCAAAGGCCTAAGGCAGCAGTTATATCTGGATCTTATGTTAAGGAAACATAAATATATTGAGTAGAACCTAAAGGAAGTACGTATCTTACAACTTTTCTCAACCAAAAGAAAAAAAGTAGATGCAAAATTTACAGCTACAAGAAAATAAAAAGAATACAGGCTTGCTGCTCAATTGAAATTGATTGCACAAAATCCCGTTTGGACCAAGTCATCACAAGACGCTGAAGAGTCTCTGAGAGAGTACGGAGGTTACAGGATTTTACTGATGAGGACTTTTCAGGGGAACACTGAAAAACAGCAAAGTGAAGAATCCATCTCAAGCAATTACTAGGGAATACTTTCCACACTAAGAATTTCTCAAGAAACATGGACCTAAAAGAGAAAATTGAACAAAAGATACGTCAAATATAAAACAGGATGTTGTATCCCAGATTAACAATCTTTTCAAGACATTAAAGAGGAACCCGAATTCTATCATAATATAATGCATAGTGAATATTCACAACCTAACTGAGGCTTGTTGCTGGAAAACCTGATGAAACAATATCCACAAAATCCAGTGAGCTTCAATATCTCCTGTATTTTGAGCTGCTAATTGTTTGAGTAGCTGTTCAGTCATTCTTTCTAAGGAGTAAGGGTCTTTTATTGACTCCATCATCTTTAACCAAAATCGCAAACCAGGCGTGAATTGAAATGCTTCATCCATAGGGACATCCGAATTTGGTGGTAAGAAGCTCTGTACGTGTTTATGTATTTCAGGAACCACTACACCTAACAGCACATCTACAATTCCAGAAATTGATTCCACTTTATAAACTGATATATCAAATTATTTGTACAAATACAAAACTACTCCCTCCCTCCGTCCCAAATTATGCGATGCAATTCGACACTTGACAGAGCACAAAGTTTAAGAAACAACGAAAGACTTCTGAATCTTGTGGTTTAAAACAAGCCATAGATATTTTTTGTGGCTATAAATGATCTCATTAAGAGTAAAATCGGAAGTTTAAAGTTAAAATGTTTCTATATATATAAAAAGGTACCATTCCTCTTGGGACAACCTAAAAAGGAAAGTGCATCACTTAAGTTGGGACAAAGGGACTAAGATTCTTTGAACAATTTGCTTGTGTTGATCAAATGTACCTGCTGATCCTCGCCGACTAATGCGAGCAAATGCTTCACCCATTAACAGCATGACGCCACTTAATTTGTTTTTATCAATGTGATCTCCTCCATCTAAAAGCTTGTCCCATTCTTGTGCTCCCGCAAGAAGTTGAGTGGTGATATGTTTGAAGAACACACTGAAATTCACTGGTAAAGAGAGGAACAAGACCAAGGAGGCAAAGAAGGAATAAATAGCAAAGAGAAGGAAATTACAGTATGTATGCAACCATGAAGCTTCAAAGAAAATTGTAATTGGCACAAGTAGTGTCCCCTGCCGGACCAGAAGGAAGAGGAATTGAAAACGAAATTAAATTGTAAAGTGAACAACCCCTTACAACCCACAAGTGTGGGGAGGAGGAGAGGGAGGGGGGAGAGAGCTTTTGCTATGTTTTCTTACCATGACACAGACTATTAAAAAAATTCCAGCTCATTTTGTGGAGCTCAACTTAACATCATAATAGATTCAACAGGTACTTACTGCATGAAAGCAAACAATCTAGTCACAGGGAACTTTATCCCAAAAAAGAAGGT